AAAATGGCAAAGGGACCAAACAAAAATGGGAACAAGTGAACTGTTAGATATAGAAAGAGTTCAATCCAAGGGTGAGGGCTAAAGCTTTCACACTTTAAGCAATTATTAACAACATTCATCTTTTTTGCTACCCACTCCAAATGGCCTAATTTTGGAGCCCCTAAAAACTGCAGAAATTACTGATATTAGCAACACTCCTGAGGTTCTCCACAAAAGACAAGAACACTTAAAATGTTTAAAAATTGATATATTTAAATTTCTATTTAAAATTTGTAATTTTTTAAAAACACTTTTTTAAATTGTAGATAGACATAATAACTTTATTTATTTTTGTATGTGGTGCTGAGGATTGAACCCAGTGCCTCACAAGTGCTAGGCAAGCACTCTACCACTGAGCTATGATCTCAGCCCTGTAAATATTTTAAAATTGTAAAATATGGCTAAGCTAGAAAAGGAGAGCTTGAAAATATGAGTGAATGAGCCAAACAGGAAATACCTTAAGTATTGTTAATTGTGCAAGGTAATTGTGCAGACACAGTCATTGAGACCACAGTACCTCCACTGAGAAAACTAGGAGTTTAAAAATTATAAATTATAAAACATTTCACAACTATTAGCTCACTTGATCCTCAGAATAGTCTCATGATGTAAGCTCAGGTAAAATGTACTGTTCCCATTTTCCAGGTACTAGAATAAGATTTAGTAGAAAGAAGTATCCAAACTCACATCCACTGCTTAGCTGTGACTTAACCAGTCCAAGTTCTATACTTCATCCTTACCCTTATGCCAGGCATTGAGGGGACTAATGTATAATGAATATGCTAATTTAGTGCCATTATTAATTAGTTAATTCAACAAAAATTTTGAATGCCTAATAAGATCCAGATCCATGGCAAATCCCTGCTTTTGTGGAGCTTACAGTCTAGTAGAGAAGTAAACAGACAATTGAAATAGCATATGATATGTCAAGAGCTATGTAATGTTTTGAACAACTAATAAAAAAGAAAGAAATAGCATATGAAAGGTCTATAAGGACGTATTTACAATGTGAAGTGGAATCACAGAAGGAAAAACGTAAGTGTGGCTGGGCACTGTGATGCAGACCTGTAATCCTAGTGATTTGGGAGGCTGAGGCAGGAGGATCACAAGTTTGAGGCCAGTCTCAACACTTTATGTAGACCTTGTATCAAAGTAAAATCTAAATAAAGGGCTGGGAAGTGTAGGTCAGTAGTAAAGTACTTCCCTAGCATCCATGAGTCCCTGAGTTTGAGCCTGAGTAGTAGAAAGAAGAAAAAAAGACAGACAGACAAGACCTAAATGTGTCCATCATATTAGACTACATTGTCCTAATAAAAGGGTACTTAACCTTAAGGAGCCTTATGTTAACTTCTTTTTTTTTTTTTAAAGAGAGGGAGAATTTTTTAATATATATTTATTAATTTTTTAGTTCTCGGCGATTACAACATCTTTGCTGGTATGTGGTGCTGAGGATCGAACCTGGGGCTGCACGCATGCCAGGCGAGCGCGCTACCGCTTGAGCCACATCCCCAGCCCAAATGTTAACTTCTTAATGGGGACTCTTTTCCCAGCTTTCTCCTCTCTGAATCTAATAGCTGATACTAGCTAATAAGAAAGAAAAAATACTTCTAGTGTGGAAAAAAAGAAATTTATCCAGTCTCCTAACCTGGTAGATATATCCAACCTCCTTTGCTTAAGCGCTGAGCTAATCAAACAACTCTGTATTTAAGAACATTGATTTGATCTATTCCAACAAGAGAATATAAATACTCACTATAAATAACCTGTTGCTATTTATCCTTGCAGGTCTTCTTTTGTTGAGAATTAATAGTTGATCTGGTCTAAAAAGCTGCTGTGGGATAATTATTACGAGTTTGTTGTCTGTACAAGAGCTATCCAATGGAATTGTCTGTGATGATGTGTCGTTCAGTTGGGTAGCTAGCCACGTGTGGTTATTGAGCATTTGCAATGTATCGAGGGAAACCAAAGAAGTGATTCATAATGTTATTTAATTTTAATTAATTTAAATAGCCACATGTGGCTAATGGTAACCTATTTGCATAGCACAGCTCTAGACGCTTGCTACTGTGAAGTCTGTAGACTATCAGCATCACATCACTTTGCTAGCTTGCTAGAAATGCAAAATCTCAGGCCCCACCCTAAATCTATTGATAACAATCTGTTAACAAGATTGTATTTGTATGCATATTAATTTTTTTTTAGTTTTAGATGGATACAATATCTTGTTTTATTTATTTATCTTTTTATGTGGTGCTAAGGATGAACCTTATACATTCGAGGCAAGCGCTCAACCACTGAGCTACAACCACAGCCCTGCATATTAATTTTTTTAAACTGTCTTTACATATTTTTTTAGTTGTCAATGGACCTTTATTTTTTATTTATTTATATGTGGTGCTGAGAATCGAACCCAATGCCTCACACATGCTAGGCAAGTGCTCTACCACTGAGCTATAACCCCAGCCCTGCATATTAATTTTTTAAAGGGCTTGGTTATTTCCAGATGAGCTGAATAAGAGACTACGGACCATATTTTTGTGACCCCCCCTTCATGTTATAGACATGTTATAGTGGATACTCTGAAACTGGCATCCAGCATAAAGGGCATTTTGCTTTCTTTGTATCTGTCTCTCCCCTACCTTTTAAACTTAGTAGAAAACAGAAAGGGAAAGAAGAAGAAACTTCTAGAGATGTAGGGATGAGGGGTAGGGTGGAAAAAGCATCTACTTTTCAAAGATATTTGTTCAAAATAAAATGAAAGTATTTCCTCAATAATTACTGAATATGGGCTGGGGATGTGGCTCGGGCGGTGGCGCACTCACCTGGCATGCGTGCGGCCCGGGTTCGATCCTCAGCACCACATACAAACAAAGATGCTGTGTCTGCTGAAAACTGAAAAATAAATATTAAAAAATTCTCTCTCTCTTAAAAGAAATAAAAAAATAATTACTGAATATGGATGATGAGTATTTGAGGATTCATCGTATTATTTTCCTCTACTTTTGTGTATATTTGAAATTTTTCAAAATTAAAAAATAGATGTAACTTGAGAGATGATGTGCTTGATAGCCAGTTCCAAAATGGCCCTCAAATGAGCCTCTCCTCCTGAAATTCATGCCCTTGTATAGTCTTCTTCCATGTGAAATCAGGGCTTGTCTGTGACCAAAGTGGAAGTGACAATTGTAACTTCAAAGAGTTAAGTCATGTGACTTCTGTCTGGTTCTCTCTTGGATCTGTTGCTCTGAGGGAATTTGGCTACCATGCTGTGAGGGCACTCAAGTAGTCTTGTGGAAAGGCCTTCATGGAGAAATGCCAAGGTTTCCTGTTCACAGCCAGCCAAGTGAGAGATCCATGTAAGGCACACTTTGCTAAAGTTGAACCTCTGGCTCCAGTAAAGTCTTCCAATGACATACACCTGTGTTCAACTGCATGCGAAACCTCAACTACCTCAACATTGCTCCCTAATCTCTGACAAAAAAAAATCTATGAAAAACAATTATTTATATTATAGTAAGCCACCAAGTTTTGGGGTAATTGGTTATGCAGAATGCAGCAATAAATAACTGATGTGATGTGATTTTAAGACTCTTCCCTCCCCTGTCACTGATACCTGGAATGAATAGAAACCATTTTTCACACTATGCATAAGGTTAACATGCTAATACTAATTCCTTAAAGAGATAATACATCTACTTAAATTCATGGTAAAACATATGTGACAGATATAAATTCTTTCTTTGTAAAACTCTTAGCAGGCTAATCTATTGAGACATTAATTTCAGTCGTAGTCTTGCTGTTGTAAGAGACTAAAAAGAATAAAATGGTAATTTCTCTCTCAGTGACCACCATCTGAAGAATAGCTAAAATCTTGAGTTGTAAGATCTTGGCTTTTCCTACATCTCATCGCCCCATTCCCATCTCAACGACATACACGGTTAACTGCTTCTTCTTGTTTTAGGGGCCACCCTGGAGGAATCACCCTCACTTCCACCCCTGGTCTTAGTATTGAAGATTAGGTAATAGAGAAACTCTGATGGAACTGCTCTATATCCAGAGAGGAGAGAGCTGGTACTAGTTCAGGAAGGTGGCAAGTGGCCAAACCTAAGGGATGAATTACTTTCTTCAGGCTGGGAAGAGTTTGGGAGTTTCCAGGAATGGAACCCTGCCCCTGGCTCCCTTGCAGTCCAAGCTGTGTGTTTAGCGGGTGGAGCGGGGAATGGGGTGTCGCGGGCAGGGGATCCCAGGGCCTGGGCCCTGGGACACCAGGGACAGTCCTCCCTTCCCCTACTCCTGCACAGCTGGCTTGCCTGCTACAGAGCTGTGCCCTTCAGGATACTTCCAGGGTTATGGACTAGTGGCACTGAGACTAGCACAGGCAAAAAACAAACAACAACAAAAACAAACAAACAAACAAACAAAAACCTTTCCCCAAATTGTTGGGACTCCATAGCCCCAGAGAGAAGGGAGGAGGAATTTCTAAACGTGACTAACGAATTTCCCGCCAACAATGACAGGCGGGAGCTGAGCCAGATTTCTTTAATTTGGAAAATTAAAAGACATGCGACGCTTCTTGCCCCGGAGTCAGCTGCAGCGAATTCACTCCAGTGAGACTTACTTTTCGGGTTTGGACAGGGAGAAGAGTAGTAGGGGAACGAGGGGGATGGAGGAAGGTGGAGGGAAGGAAGTGGGAAAGGGCCTATGCCGCCCATCGTGGCACCAGCTGAGCAGCCGGGTCAGGTTCACCGAGAGAGAATGACCCAGCTGGTTGAC